AATTTATTTATTTATTACATACTAATACATTTTACTTATTTATTTATTATTTTTATAATTTTGAGGATATTTTTATCTTTATAATTAAAATATAAGGACAGAAAAGGAAAAAAAAGTTAAAAGCCCTAATGCAATTAAGCAATTGGAGCAAAGATGGGCAATGGCTCACTGTGATAAATCGCACCATTATCCTACTTCATTTAGATCTCATTGTTGCGTTTGGCAGTATTTCCTGTAATGATCGAAATTTCACTTAAGGTTTAGTGAAATCTAAATAAACTTTTAAACTCCAGGGTTGTGCAATTTCAAGACCCGAGAATGGACTTTTCCAATGTCATAAATCAACCCATATTTGTACTGGTGCTAAGGAACTCGGTACTGCAAGGCCTAGTTGCCCAAAATGCTACAAAAGACAAGGCATATGAAGTGTTTGAATGAAGGCTAAAAAGAGCAATAAAAAGTAAGGCAAGAGTAAAGTTGTATTACTCAATGGTTGCTATGTACAATGAGGGTGAAGGAACCTCTTTTTTTATAGTTGGGTCCCTTTTACAATCAATGGTTGAGATTATCTTCCTAAAGTCTAGAGATTACATTAATTTTCAGATTACAATGAATCCTTTGATTCTAAAAGATATAATATTGCAGCATAATTCCTCGCATCTTTGACCTTTGGGAATTATGCTAAGCATTGGGCCTTCTAAAAGCTCTCAAATCTAATCTTTTCAAGTCTATGTTCATCAATGCCCATACTTGGGTCTGGCTCAATTCTACCAAACATGAACACTTTGTTTAAGTCACTAGAGTCCTGATTATTGCCCGCACCACTATTCTAGGATTCTATCCTCTGTCCAACATCCTAGACCTTTAGTGCACCTTAAAGCCTAGTTCTTATGATTGTCAGACTCTGTTCCGCTAGAATTAAAACTACTATTGGACTTGGATCAAACCCTGGGCCTAGACAAGTAAGCAAACCGTGACACTTAGACATGATAATTTTAAATACATTTCAAAAATGATATATAAAAACAATATAATTTAATATTTTGGTAAAAAATTGTATATTGATTTATAAAAAAAGAAACATATTTCATATTTAATGTATCGATACAAATTTATACAATAACTTTTATGTTTTACATTAATACACAAATTATCAAGTGTATGACAAATAATAACATAGGTTACAAACCAATCCATTTTCTAAAAAAAAAATCCACAAGCCATGCAAAAACATAATTCTTAATTTCCTTGAAAAAAAAAAGCACTTTTACTGTATATTGCAAGTGGTAATGAACAAAGAAAGCAACTGAGCAGGCAACAAGTCTGCTGGTGCAAAAAGCAAGCTGAATTCTTCTGTATTGTGACATATAGTAGCGTAATAGATACATTTTACATGTTCCCTTCAAATTCTTGGTCTGTAGAATGGCTACTTTGTTTCACATGGCACTGATAACTACTGTTCTGCACATCCCAAAAGGAGGATTTGAAGAAATGACAGATTTTGTACTATTATGCTTTAAACAAACTGTTCTAATGGAATCAATAACATGCAGCTGCCACTAGAAGTCAAACAATAAACACAAAAAAATCAAACAACTAAGGAATATGAATTACTTTTATGATTATGAAACAAAACCAACATCAGATCATTTTGGCATTTTCGCCGCGCTTCCAAATGCACCCCTAAGCATACGCAGAAGGACAAACAGATTCAACCTTCTAAGGTTTTCAGTTGTTTAATGAAGCTCTTGGCAAACTAAAAATCTTTATCATTCAAATCAGAATCAAATTTAAGCCTTTCATAGGTTAAAGATAGTATCTGAAGATCAACTGCCTTCAGCAGCAGATGCTTAACAAATTCAATCTCACTCTTATAGCCAAAGAAGTGATGTACCAGAACTATCTTTAGATAATGCAGAATCAAATTCAATAAAAACAATAATAAGAATTTACAAAGAAATAAACCAAAAACAAACGCCAAGTTGCTTTACATGGGCAAGATTTCGTGCCAACATTCTAATATAGTCCTCGAATTCTTCTTTATCTTGTATATGTTCCTACTGAAAAAGGTGTGGTTTCAACAAGGGAAGGCGAAATGCTCAAAGAAATCTTCATTAAATCTCCAAAGAATTTAAATGATGTCAAACTTGACACGTCAACTTCTACATTCAATCTACTAAGGCACTGATCCAATCTTGTGTTTTCAGGCATGTTGTTGCTGTATTAATGTTATACTTCAATGGAATTGGATGTTTCAATCTTATAACAAATTTCATTGCTCTTTTAAAAATCAGTTGTTAAAAATGTTTCTATACTGATTAACTAATTTTTTAAAAAAGAAAGATGGTTAAAATAATCTAGTACATTTTTTTAACAATATTAGTAATAATTTATATTTTATAAGTTTATTTTTTGTATACATACTTGTAATTTTTTAATTTTATAAACGAAATTAAAAGATTATCACATGTTTCATATTTTTTTATTTTTTTCTCTATACCCTAAGAGATACAATGAAGTTTAAAAACTCAACAGTCGGTCTATATGATAATTTCTTTTATTTTATTTATGAATTGTATTATCTAGATAACAAAAATAAGTTAGCAAAATCTATATAAAAAAAAAAAAAACCAAAAACAAAAACAATTTAGATATGATTTGTGTTAAAAAAAACTTTTTCAAGCCCAACCCCAGTCCAGTCGGAGGGGTGGGCTACCTGGCCTACTGCAATAGATAAGAGGCTGGGCCACATATTATGATTCTCAGCCCAAAAAACCCATCGTACTATTCTCATTTCTGACTTTTTTTTGGGTAATATTTATGATTTTATTTTCGAAATATTTTTTTATGAATATTGAATTATGATTTGCAAATTAAAAAGTTCTCTTCTTACTAATTAGATTAATCCGTAAAATCTCATTTCTAAAATTTTTAATTAAAATATTTGAAGAAAAAGTTCATATGTTTGATTTTCTACATTTTGGATAATAATCCACGATATAGCTTTAATCATAAACATTTTGTTTCAACCTAAGGGGATAAAGTTACGAATATAACTTATAATTTATATCATCGTATCATGTAAAATATTATATTTATATCATATTTTACATAAAAATTACGTATCACAATTCGTGTTGATATGAAAATATAAAATATAATCTTTTGGTTTTATTAAATCTATTAAATTTTTAAAATTTTAAATTATGTTATCTTTATGTCTTTTATTTATATAATTTCGTATCGTGTTATCATGTCGTATTTTAAAATATCAAGTCTAATTATAAGCAAAATATTAAGACCAAAACAATATTGAATTTGCTTTGTTTTTGTGTGATCGTTGACATTGTCTCAATTACTCAATATCACTCTTACAATAAGAAGGTCTCAAATTTAAATCTGTCTTACGAACAAGTATTTTTATAAATAAAACAGCAATATCGGATAACTCAGAATTTTTCATATTCGCCAATGTAGATTAGAATTGCTTATTTAATTGTTAGAAGTTCTTTTTTTTTTTTTTTGGATTGATCAGGATTTAGTATCTTCAATTATGATCATGTGTTGTACTTCAAAATTAGAGAGAATTCGATTTTGATATTTACTTTAGTTGATTAAGGGTATTATTTTTAAAAAATAATATTTAATAAATTTCAAATTTAAATATTCTCACTTTTACTTTTAAATTACTATGTCTTTATACACAAAAAAAAAAATTAAAAATCTCGAAATTAATATTATTCATGATGGAGACTTACTAATAATAGAGATCACTATTTTTTATAAATGGATTATATTTTTCTGTTAAGATTACATATTTTTTGAAAAAATATGTTTTAGTGTTTAAATTTCATATCTACATAAACTTAGATCAGAGTTATCGAAGTTATCACATAAAATATATTAAAAAAAACTTAAAATTTAATTTAATTATTTCATATAATCATTTTGAAAATACGACATTCAACAATTTTAAATTTTAAATCCATCCCCTTTATGTTAAAAAAATAAATTCTTGAAGGATAAGAAAAAGGCTGATTTCAAAATCAATGGTGGAAATTGGACTAACCACTTCGATTTGAAAGAAGTAATAAATGAAATTTATTGCACTTTTTGTCATTCTATGAAAATAACATGCTACATTCACGTGCTTCCTAAATATATTTTCAATTCTACTTTTTTTTTTTTGGAGACTGAAATATATCTGCCGACAACCTTTCAAATATAAGTCTGGTTCAGAATGTAGTGTGTCGGTGCTTCTGTTTCAGTTTTCCATCAAAATCAACCAGGAAGCTTTCTGAAAAGGCAAACAACATGACATCTTTTGAAGGCACAAAATTATAAGGATAATTGTTATATGTTAATTTTCTTCCATAAATGAAGCATTTATCAATTTTGGTAAACCTTGAAATATCTTCAAATCACTTAAAATTTTTGCCATTTTTTAGAAGTCTAGAGCCAAATCCTTATAATGAGTTTGAGAGATTGAAAATTATTAGTATATCAATTGAATTAAAAAAAATAATACTTGAGCATTTAATTCAATGATTAATTTATATATTTCAAATTACAAAAACTAAATTCGAATCTGTACTCCAATTTAAAAACAAAATGTTTTCTTCTAATGTCTCTGCTCCTATTGGAATGCATGAGGTCATGGAAAAAGGTACGCTGGATTAAGCATATAAGCTGATAATGTTGCAGGGGAAAGTGCAGCAAAATGAAAGCAAGGAAAGACCATTTTCATCTAATAATAACTCAAAAATGTATTTTGGGCTTGTCTGCAGCACATGGCAGAACCGATGATGATGATATGATGTTGGATACTTAATTAATTAACAAAATTCAAGATCTCTCTATCATCATCACAAATTGCAGAATCTTTTTAACATTCAATAATTGTTCAAAAGTACACAACAACAAAAAGAAAGGTTTTCAGTGGCTTTTCACAAGCATGCAAAAATGTCTTTTGGCTTGAAAAAAAAAAAAAAAACCTTCTATTCATTATTTGATGTACTAGAGCTACTTAGTAAGATTCCAAGACAGGATCTCACTCATAAATATGCCTCTAAAAGTCTAAATACAGTCTTTCTCTTCCCACAGCAGTTACATGCAGGCTTCAATTCAAAGCAAATAGAACTGCAAAAACTCATAATTATACAACTACACAGAAAAGGGCCATTCAAAAATCAAACTTGACCCAAGGTTCACCCTCATGTCTTTATTCGGACATTATTTTTACTATATCATATACTACAGCAAGGGCGGCTGTTATATTTTATGGTAAAGGGTAGTTAAAACTTAAACTGGCCTCCAGTGTAAGTCTGTCCAAAGGCCCAACCGGCTGGAGCAACATTGTAAGAGATAACACTACGGCCATCACTGGTTGTGACAAGAAATGAGAGGCTTTGTCCATTAAGGTAAGAATTGCTTTGCCAGTTCTGGCCCCAGTTTCTTGACATTGCCTGCCATCTGGTCCTTGAACCTTTAATGGCTACAGAATGCACATCACCAGCACCTCCAACATTGGTTATAAGTACTAGGTTGAAGTAGGAATGTCCATTAATTGTGAACCTGACACCCCCGCTTCTCCTGCACCTCACCCTGGAAAACAAAAACATTTTACATGTAACCTTATTGCCATCATATTAGAAATATAAAAGAAAATATTGTTGAAACATTTTGGTGAAATTAGCCAATTATGTTACCTTCTGTAAATTACAGGAACAATACCAGCTTTGTATTGGGCAATGTGTTGGAAAATAGGCTGGGAGAGATCAAAGTGGTGATTAGGTGGGTCACACCAGCCTCCTGGAGGGCAGAAGTTAGTGGCTGTGACCACAATGGAGCCAGGCAGGCACCATTGTGGGTCACTGACACACCTGAGTTCATAGCATGCACCACAGCTCAAGCCATTGTCAAACAATGCAGTGCTCAATGCTGCTGTGTTAACACCATAACCTTGGCTATACAGGTTTCCATAACCACAAGCTCCACCTATAACAAAACCCAAAATGTAATTTCATTAAGTAGATACCAAGAACAACATGTCAGATACAATACAACAAACACAAAAATAGGAAAAAAAAAGTGATAATGGAATGTACCCATTGTTCCAGAAGCATCACCATCCCCATAGAAAGTGGCATGAGCATTGTTCCAGGGTCCAAGGTATCCATGATAAGCATGATGATTCCATGGAAAACCATGAACAAAGTTGAGGACTGAGAGTAATACAACTACAAGAAGCCCCAAAAGTCTCATTGCCCTGCACATGAAAAAAAATACTCCATAAACCCCTAATGTGAAAAAAATTGTACACTAAAATTCTAAAACTAACAAAGAATACAAGCATATTTTCAAAGCCTTTTTTTTCTTTCATTATGCTGTTTTAAAGTAAAAAAAAAAAAAATGTAAGAGGAAGCAAAAAGAAGAATGCGACTAGTAACTGAACCTTGAAAGAGTTGTTTGTTGAACGAAAAGGGGGTGTTTGAAGGGAATAAATAGAGGGCGGTCAATATCTGACAACCTGACAACCATTGAGCTGTTGGGACCAAGCAACTGCAAAGTGGTTTTTGGAGACTCTTGATTTTATGGAAACAAATGTAGTTTTTAAGGGGCTAGGCTAGACTAGGCTAAGGTTAAAAGCGGTTTTCAAGGCTAAAACCGCGTGGTTTGAAAAGAGGGGGAGTGAGTGTGGGAGGGGACGCGGGGGGAGAGACAAACAAGCCATGGTTTTTTTATCAAAGAATGATTTAAAATTGAGTTCACCACTGGGTTTAAAGTCTTGATTTTTAGGTTATAGTTAGTAGTAGACATTGGTTTTTAGGATTAGTTGGTAGTATTTGTTAAATGTGATTTAATGATTTTTAATATTCAATCACTTTCTTTATTTTTTCATTATCTGTTAACTATTTGAATTTTTTTTCTCTGTTAGTTATCTTGTAAACTTATTAAAAGATTGATTGAGTTTAATAAGAATACAGAGTAATTTATTTATAATTATCCAAAATTAATTATTTTTTGTGAGTCGATGATTAAATTTTAGAAAAGCATACTTCCTTCCCCAACAAATCTTTAATATTAGAGCTTTAAAATCCTTACCCATTTTTTGAATCCATTCAATCCAATCACCGCTCACGTTTTGTCTTTTTGCTATCAATGAATAGATCTCTTTACTTGTATGACTTAGATGTCTCGTATTTATCAAAAAAAGGATTTGATCGATGGGATTTGGTATGAGATTTATGAGATCAACCATACCGATGAGATTGAAATTCAAATATTTCATCTTAGAAAGTACACCCATGTTGCTGCCAAAAGCAAACCTCCGTATTTTTTCTAGAGAATATACTAATTGTTCCAGAAGAACTCGAAGAAGATTCGTTAACCAGAAAGAATTCAGTTCAGATGTAGGATAGCTAGCCAGAAAACAATGGCAGTGAATGCCAATTCAAATGTAGCCTAACCTCTCATGCTTGTGTTCGATGAAAAACATTATGACTTCTGGAACATTAAGATGAAGACATTTTTCAAAACTCAAGATTTTGGAGATTTTGTAGAGACTAGATACTACCAAAATGATAATGATAAATGATGGCTGAACGACAACAAGAAGAAGGATTTCAAAGCCCTATTTATCAAGTAGTTCATAAGACACTTTTCTCCAGGATTATAGCAGCCAACACTTTAAAGTAAGTTTAGAAACCTTAAAAAAGAGTTTCAGGGCTCTTTAAAAGTTATTGCTGTGAAACTCCAAACTTTACGACATGAGTTTGAAATTTTGATGATGATGAATAAGGAAATAGTGAAAGATTTTCTTTCTAGAGTAATTTATATTGTGACTCAACTAAGATTTACGGTGATAAAATTATTGACGAGACCATTATCTTCAAAGTTTTATGAAGCCTGACTCTAAAGTTTGATCATATAGTTGCTGTAATAGAAAAGTCTAAGTGTCATAACATATAGATCCATAAATCTATAGCTAGACTTAACAAATAGATGAGTCACCACCAATCTTTTTTATCTAGGTATGATTGGTCACCTAATGAATCTATCCTCTTAAAGAGCTCTTAAGCTTAACTAAGGGTCCCTAAAAAAATAGGTTTAGGTCTACAAACTAGAACATGATTTGAGAGTTCAGTTACATGTGAGAAAGGATATAGCACCCCCACATGCCCATCTAAATGATGGTACCATTTATTTTAAATTTATCCTAATGTCTTGATTTTAATGGTTTTAATTTTTATGTTAAATATTAAATAATTCATAAGATTCTTTCATCAATCTAGTAAAATTTTTAAAAATATTTTCTTACCTTAAGAGTATACAAAGATCCCATTTGTTTCCTTGAAGAAGCTCCATCATCGAAAAAATGTTGAATTATTTTTTATTATTTTATTATAAAAATATATCTAATTATTCCACCATTTGGGCCAAATTAAAAATATTTTTTTTGAATTTCTAAATTTTTCACCATTTGGGCTTATTTAAAAAATTTTTTTAGAAAGAAAATAATATAACAATTTTTTTTTGAAATTTTATTTAAATTCTTCCACCATTTGGGATAAATTTAAAGAAATTTTTCACCTAAAGATTTCTTACGAATTTACCATTTGAAGTTTTTAAAAATCTCATCATTAGATAATTATCAAATATTTTCAACCAAATTTGAAAAAGAATACAATTACTTTTATTGAAACTTCATCTAAATTATTTCATAATTTGAGACAAATTTAGAAAAAATTTCTCACATAGAGATTTTTTAGAAATTTAATTCCAAAATTTTTATTAATATTTTTTTATTTTTTTATTTTTTTGTTTGAAAATAAATATTAATTATCGTTATTAAAATCTTATCTAAATCATTTCTCCATTTAGGGCAAATTTAGACAAAATTTCTTACCTAAGAATTTTATAAAAATTTACCATTTGAAATTTCTATAAATTTTATCATTGGATAATTAATATTTACTCCAAAAAATTTATTTTATTTTTTTATTTTTACTTTTTTTTAATTTTTTTCTAAATTTAATCATGCACAAATACTAAAAAAAACACATAAAAAAATAAATAAAAAATACCAAAAAAAAAAGAAACGACTTGGCTAGACGGTTTAGGTGTGGCTTGATTTCAAACACAAATAGTGGCTCAGGGTCACAGCTGGATGGCGTGGCTTAGCTAAAGGAATCGGTTGGAATGCAGGACAGCAGAAGTCGATTGGCGCTCAAGTCGAGTCGTTTGAATGAAAAACGCGCGAATCTTGAATTTTCTTAAACACCAAAATGGTGTCGTTTCTGTGAGGTTATAAAAGCTCAAGTTTCAACTTTTTGCTTCAGATCTCCCCTTCCCCTTCTCTCTCTTTCCTTTTTTTTCTCTCATTCTCTCTCTAGAATCGGATGCACTCCGATCGAATATCAATCGGATTTTGGGGAATGACGTCGAAATCTGGGTAGGTTTGTCGTCGAAAAATTCAACCTTTGTCGAAATCACCATCAATTTTGGAAAACCTTGTCAAAAAATTCAACCGATATTGAAAAATTTTATCGAAATCTAAAAATTTTTCAAATTTTTTCAAAAAAACCATTTTTTTTAAACCTAAAAGTCTTCAAAAATTTTTTCTACTTTTTGCTTGCGGTGATTTTGTGATTTTCTTTTATGTGAGTTTTTATAGGCATTGATCAAAAGAGTTTCTGATCAATTTCGATTCTTTCTTTGATTGGGATTCAAAATTATCAATCTTTGAGTTCAATTCCAACTCTACCAACCACCAGATTTATGATAAAATTTTTTATCTTTTTTTTTAATCATTATCTAACAAATATTAATAAATAAAACAACAAAACAAAAAGCAAAAATAAAATAAAATAAAATTCAGAACAATAAAATGAATAAGTTAATAACAAATGTGCTACACTTGTCATTTATTCAATTGAAAATGAAGAAACAAACACACATAAGACATTTATTTAGATTAGGTTCAACACACTACTTTGGAGAAAATTTAAAAACAACAGATAGCTCCTCAACATGCCAATTTTTCAATTTTGCACCAAGAGGGGTAAGATAAACCCATGGACAACTTAGATCTTTGTTATCCTTTTTTTTTCACCCATCATTTATATTAAAAATTTAGTGAAGATATCTTCCAATGATGGTGTAAACTCTTTCTCTATGTTTCCTTCTACATTTAGATAGATATAGCCAACTGAGATGAAAATCTTGTAAAAGGGAGGAAAAAAATAGGCTTTTAGTTTCTACTTTTTACCCCAGAAAATGAGCCAATCTTTTTTCTCTTTTTTCCTCTATGAACTTCATTCACTATAAGAAAATGGTGTATTAGTGGTAGTTTTGTAGTGACCTTTTACTTACAAACGTTGCTAGCTTCCATGTTTTTATAAAACTTCAAGCGTTTATTATCAAAACACCACTAAATTTTCAAATAGCGGTATTGGTACTTATAAACACCACCAAAGACTTGATATCAATGACGTTTCTAGATAAAAATACCTTGAATAATTTTTATTAAAAATTTTAGTGAATAGTACAAGCGTATTTTTAGCAGTCAATGCCTTCAATAATCATGTTATAAAAAATTGTATGAGATTATTGAAAGTATTTTTCATAAGAAATGCCTTTAATAATTGGATCAAAAAATTTCATAGGCTTATAAAAATGTTTGGATCGTACAGATGTTTACCATAAGGTTGAAAATTCGATCCCTCTCTTTGACATTTTTTTGGTTTTTTGCACAGATTATTTGTAATTGATTATTCTAGGCGTTTTCTTAGCAAACACCTTCTATAACCACCGTGGTATGTTAAAGGCGTTTTATAATAAAAGATGCCTTTAATAATCCCAAAATTTTTTTTAATGAAATAATTGAAAGCGTTGCTATCTGCAACTGTCTTTACTAATTATTTACAAAATCTAATAGCAAATATTAGCATTTTTCTTGAAAATACACATCAATAACCATGTTAAAATTTATGTGGTGATATATTAAAAGTATTTTATAGTAAAAGCTGCTTTTAATAATGCCCAAAATTTTTAGAGGGAAAATATTGAAGGCATCTATTATTAACAAACATCTTCAATAATGGATTACTAAGTTTAAAGGTATATTGAAAGCACTTTTTTGAATAAATGCCTTCTATAACCATCGTGGTATATTGAAGGCATTTTATAACAAAAGATGCATTTAATAATCTCTCAAAAAATTTTTTAATGAAATTATTGAAGGCGTTGCTATCTGCAAATGCATTGACTAACTATCTACAAAATCTAATAACAAATATTAAAGGCATTTTT